GGTGACTAAACAGTACAACAAACTCTGGTTCGCTGCCAATGATATGGCGTGTCCGCGGTCGCGCTTGGCGCTGAGCCAACCTGTTTTTTTCTCGACAAGCGACAGGACTACCATATCGTTCGTATCAGACGTTTTCCAGCAGTTGGTCTCCTTTATCGGAGTCAGCGATTGGCGGAGCACGAATCTGGCAGCGTTGACAGGGACATGTTCCATCATACGCAACGGAAAACACTGTAAACAAGTGCACAGGCTCGCCATGGACCTCCCTGAACCCTATAGACACATTTGCTCGCGTGAACAGACATTACGCACAAGTTGCACCATCCCATCACCTCTGCGCGGCCCTCAGTGCGCGGCGCATCCAAAGTTGGCGTGATCGGCGCTAAACGAACCATATCCTGCTCCTGCTCCACCACAGGATACGTTCTACATGCGTTCCTGGCTATTCGAACACGCTCACTTGAAACGGTACACAGGAAACGGGTTTTTCGCGCAGCTGGGAGTGTTCCCAAGAAATCCCCATAGCGAGATCTCATGAATCCCGAGAGCTTCAGAAACAGTTCAAGAGGTTTTTAGAAAGAGAAAATCTTCAAACACTCGAAACCGTTCTCAGATTTGTGAAATGTTGAGTTACAAAAAAAATATATTGATTCAAACCTGTTCAACTTGAAACCACTCCCCCCAACGAATCCCTATGGCAGATTTCTCTGTGATTTTTGCGACCTTCATAAACGTTTCAGTACTTTTAGGAAGTGCAAACCTTCCTCTACACGAATACGGTCTCCTCTTCCCCACAGGTCCGCTTTTGAGGAAGTTATGGTCCTTCAAAGACACCCTACTTTGCTGAAAATTCTCGCTCCATGGCTAAAATTGCCGAACGATCTGCGGTCACATCTGCAATTACATGCGCTTCTGCTACCGTACTCCAATAATCGGGGTAATGCATTTTTACGGCGGTTTGTATAACTGTTACGTAGTGAGACAAGCCTAACTTTCTCTTTTCCTCGTCCTCAATCTTGGGAATAGACGTTGTTAACACTGTGGTCGCTGATGGCCGCTCCCAGAGAGGGAGTTCACGTCAGGTTAACGAATGCTCATTGAATTTAATCGCGATATATTGTTACCAGTCGGATCGCCCGGCTTTCGGCCGCGGGCGCTCCTCCTTCTGTGACATGGCCCGGCTTCGCCGAGCCATGCGGATTTGCCGCGTGCTAAGGATCGTTGACCAATCACACTGTTCAAAGGAATCTTCTGCATCAGCCAAGAACTGAAAAGCAGCGCTTGTTCCGTCAAGGCGCAGAAGCAGCAGCAGCGCCCCCCCCCCCCCCCCCCCCCCCGCATCACAGAAGGAGGAAAGCCGGCCTTAGCCAGCGATCCGACTGGTACGTTCATAACCTACACGGAAATAGTGCAGCCTGTTTGGACAGCCACTGAAGCAGCCTATAATTTATGCAATCTGTCTTCCTAAAGCTTTTGCTTTGAATGCACTACCGCATTCAGCAGTGGAACCCTTTAAATGGCCCTCACTGAAGTTGCTGATGGAAGATAATTGTGGTAAGAGTGATAAAGTCAGTTGCATAACATCTCTGTAAACAAACCACATGCATTTGGAATAGAGCTGGCTTAGCGCCGTCGCCACATGTGTCGTTACTAAATAAGCAGTGAGGAATGAGTTCTGTTGGAATCACTGAGATCGTTATACTTGAGTCATATCGATCGCATTGTTGTTGTGAGCGGTGAAGCGGATTTTCCCATGCTACCTTGTCAATTTTAGCTCCTATCACTTCCGTACCCGCCAATAACACTCCCGTCCCGTATCACTATCATATCACCCTGTATCGCCTCTCGGATCAGAGGTCCCACTGTTGCTGTAACCTGCGTTACGAATCTGATGACCCTCCCCTTCCGAGGCCGCTTACCGTATCTTATCAACTGTTATCACTTTCTGTCGCCCGCCAATAATGTTCCCGTCCCGTAATGTTTCCGTTTAAGGCCCCTTATCGAATCTTATCAAGTGTTATCACCTCCTGTCACGCACCTAAAGTGTTCCCGTCCTGCCATGTATATCACTCCTTGAAATCACGGTCCCACACCTGCTGCAACTTGCGCTACGAATTCAGTCACCCTCCCCTTCTACGGCCCCTTATCGTATCTTATCAAGTGCTATCACCTCCTGACACCCACCAAAAGTGTTCCCGTCCTGCCATGTATATCACTCCTTGAAATCACGGTCCCACACCTGCTGCAACTTGCGCTACGAATTCAGTCACCCTCCCCTTCTACGGCCCCTTATCGTATCTTATCAAGTGTTATCACCTCCTGACACCACAAAAGTGTTCCCGTCCTGCCATGTATATCACTCCTTGAAATCACGGTCCCACACCTGCTGCAACTTGCGCTACGAATTCAGTCACCCTCCCCTTCTACGGCCCCTTATCGTATCTTATCAAGTGCTATCACCTGACACCACAAAAAGTGTTCCCGTCCTGCCATGTATATCACTCCTTGAAATCACGGTCCCACACCTGCTGCAACTTGCGCTACGAATTCAGTCACCCTCCCCTTCTACGGCCCCTTATCGTATCTTATCAAGTGTTATCACCTCCTGTCACCCATCAAAAGTGTTCCCGTCCTGCCATGTATATCACTCCTTGAAATCACGGTCCCACACCTGCTGCAACTTGCGCTACGAATTCAGTCACCCTCCCCTTCTACGGCCCCTTATCGTATCTTATCAAGTGTTATCACCTCCTGACACCCACCAAAAGTGTTCCCGTCCTGCCATGTATATCACTTCTTGGAACTGTCATCCTATCTTTTCTGCGACGCTCGCTATGAATTTCGTGACACACACACACACACACACACACACACACACACACATAGCGGATTATATATAGTAGGATTTTTATTACCATGTGTGTTTCAAAACGGCCATCGAAGAAGTTCATCATACGAGTTTCTCATAATACGATTGTACCGTTTTTTGTTTGCAATCATCTCTGTATTGTTCTATATGTCATGACTTCAAGTCGTCCATTTAGTATGGGCACCTTCATACAAGTAGAATTTCATAGTGGGCGTTTCATAGTTTCATTTAAGGCGAAAAAAACCGAACGGCAAAAAAAGGGGGGGTCGTACCGAACCCCCAAAAAAAGGGGGGGGTCGTACAGGCTCGACCAAAATCCCCATCGAATGCTGTGCCCTGCTCGGCATATCTTCGATGCCATAGTTTTCATTGGTGAGGCGAGTCCACTATTTTGACATCCGCGTTTCTCTTAGAAGGGGTGTTATTACCAAACTGCTGACGCATCCTGGTCGTGGCCTGACGTCTGGAGATGCCCAGGTTGTAGTAGTCCAGCAAACATCGGCGGTGGTGGTGACTATCACTCATCTTCACTGCTTTATTGTGGGAAGAGCAGGAAAGGAAATTTAGAGCTAGCTAGCTCAGAAGATAGCCCATCGCGAGTACTTTCAGTATTGCGAAATCTTTATGCAAAATCACAACGCGTTGCGTAACGCGACGCTGTTTACAAATGGCCAACGAACTTTGTGGACACCCTAATACAAACCTACTTTGGCCAGTCCGTGGCGGGTAGCCGACTCTTCACTACGCGCGCCGCGCCTATTCTCTCGCCTTTTTGAGATGCATTACTAGTACATACTGCGTCCTCATACGGAGGGCTATAGATATCCAGAAAGGGCGCGGGAGATTGAATGAACGTGGGCGCTGCATTTAATAAGACACGGAATCCTAAGTTGCCAGCTAAGGGGCCCAATAGTTTTAGCGGTGCCAAAATGTCACTTCCGCTTTGCATCGTGGTGCATTCTGCTTTGTCTTCAGTAGACATTACACTCCAATTTCCAAAATTCCTCCGAGTTAATGGTCCAGCAGCAAGCAGATCAAGTATGTGAAATTGCTGATAGAGAGAGAGGGTTCGCTTACTATCTGCCCCTTGTGACACGCACTACCAACCGACAAATCGAAGTTTGGGCCGGAATCAGAGTTTGGCTGAAATCTTACCTCCGCAGGCATACGCTTCTAGATTGCGGATTTTACGCTCGCTCAGCACGGAAACATACCCTTCGAAACGATTGGCACTTTGCACGTTGTTGTGGCCAGACCTACAATGAGGGATCCGGCCGTTTTCACTCCAAGACGGATGCTAGCTAGCTGGCCAAACTAACATCGGGTACAGTGCTTGGCCAAATTTGTGATTGCTGTCCAAGCAGCCCAAATGCGTGCGGAGACATAAGTGAGTGTCCTTAGGGTGGGCGGTGACTACGTATAGTGGTAGCTTTCGCTGCGGATGTTGCGGCGTTGTCAGGCGGGATGAGTCTGGTGCCGCTGCCAAACCGTTCGCCAGTAGTTGCTTTAAAGAAAGGCAAGATGATATCGACTAGATATTTCACATCGTTTGAGTACTCGTTTTCTACCACTTTTGTCGCATGTGCTCTTCAACAAGAAGGCAGAGAACGGTTTTGACGTCGTGACACACTCACACTGCCTAACACGCCCAACCGCCGTCCGCAGCGAACTAGAGTGTATATACTTCATATGCCACGTCATGTACCTCACTTACTTGATCTACTTGGTCTAGTGGCACTTCACCATAGAGGAATCCCACAAACTGGAGTTAAATTACTCATCGCGACAAAAAAAAATTTTTGCACCAATGCGATGCTTGGCTGCGAAGCCATACCCTTATCACTAGGTGGCGCTGCGATGGGACGCTCGAACGCCAGTAGCGCTCACAAGCCAATATCGTATTTCAGCAAACTTTAACCATCCAGAAACCGCTTGGGAGATCCCCGTAGCACTTTTAGTCCGCACATTCATAATCAGCATTCCAGACTATATCGATGCGCTAGGTCTCCATTTCACTTCCGTGGGAATTTTAAACTCTCAGTACTCGTACACTCGTTTCAATGCCTAACGGTTAGGGGCCTGGAAAAGTCTGTTGAGCGAGCTGTTTCGTGGAATCACTCAAAATCTTCTTATGCCCATAGAAATAAGTACCTCGAGTCTTTTAGGGATTTCAGTACTGCCTTCTACTGGTCTGTTCATTGGGCTAAAAGTACCAGCTCCTCGTGTGTCGCAACTCATAAAGGCGTTCGTGAACAGGGTATAGGAAAGATTTCATTGAAGTACAATTATCAAACTGACGAATGTTTTGGTGGTTTTTCAGACAATAATAGATGTTTGCACATTTGTACAGCGAATTAATCGCAGCTGTCACGCGCAAGGGCCTACTCTATATGGTATCGTGAACAGCTCACACTTGTCACCTCCACTAAAACAGGTGCTTTTTCTGAGATAGATGAAGTAGAGGTTCCATCGTATACCTACATAACAGACAAAATCGCGGCTGTTTGATGACAACCAATTGCAGGGGAAATAACCTAAACGACCAGAGCAGTTTTCCGTCAATTGAGGGTGTCTATCTTTCTCATTTTGAACCATTTTGGATGGCGCACTGTTACGAGATTGGTGAACCTCCTCCCTGCAACCAAATATTTACATTTTCATTCTTATTTATGTGCGCTTATACTTCTTTAGTAAGCGACTGGCAGCGAGCGGGAAGAGGAAGACACACCCGCAGTGGGCAGAACGGGTGCCGAAGTGTGCGGGACCAAGCTGAAAATTCGTAAAACCTTTCTAGGGCTCTCCTGGATCCCGAAGGAATGAGCAAAGAAAGTGGAGGAGACTGGCGATTGAAATGATAGGAGCACACAAAATTGGTGGGCAGAGCATGCGTCCCTAGGCGAGCGGGGCAAAAGCCCGAAGTCCAGTATTCGGTTGGAGAACAGCACAAACACCGAGAAAAAGTGGATTGAGCTCCACAAGGGGTCAGCGGACGAAAAGGCGGAAACTAAAAGTGGGTGATCCGTGCTGAGATGAGTGCTGCTTACTAGAAAATTCCGTAGCAGTCTGGAGACAGTTTCGAGAAAGTCATTGGAGAAGGGGAACATCTGGCGGGTGGTGGGCGTGTCTGTGGCAAGTTGAGACCCTCCCACACCGGGCAAAACGTGACCTAGAGCGCGCAGTACCTACTTTTCAGTTAGTTTTAGGACAAGAGCGGTCAAACTCTTGACCACCGGTTGCCGCAGACACATTTGTCAGCTCTCCGGCTGACGCTGTTGCGCCCCACCTGTGATACCGCCCGACTGCGCCAAACGGGTGCGTCTTTCTTCCCGTGACCGTCCGGTCTATCGAGAAAGTAGAGTACCAGTTGAGTTTCAAAAGATGCGAAGAAATGTAGGTGCGGCGAAGCAGGGTAGTGGGTAGGAGGCGCGCGCGGAAGCTCAAGGTTCCATTTTCGCATCATGCCACAAGAGTCCGACTTAGCTTGGTTCACTTCAGAAAGATGGATGTGAAGTCAAACAATGGACCATTTACTGTTTCTGTCGGCATGATGTGTGCAATTTAGATGACAAAAAACTACAGGTAATTCCTCAGCATCAGTACAGGCAGAGTCTACTTGTTTTCTGGAATTACTGTGACCTGAGGGCGCCAAGAACTTTCAGTTCCACCCATACACAGCTGGAAAGGAAAGGTTGAACAGAATTTCTGAGAAGGTAGCTCGGCTCAAACAACAAATGTTAAGACTTCTTGAGTAAATGTGGAACCATAGCAAAGATATTGATGCAGCCTTATTTTTCTTACACTTCGGCTTAGTCCTCTTCGTCGGAGCTTGGGAGGCCGGAGATGAGAGCGATCCAACGCCGACTGCCATTTTAGACTTGAGACCTACTCACCATAGACTAAAACGTTTAGAAAGGTCCCATAGCTTGGATACACATTTTGACCAGCCTCAGGAAAGTACAATCGAGTTTCAACGCCCGTTGAACTGACTCACTGTGGTTAGATTTAGCTGATCTAACCCTTCAACCGGTGTTCCATTATCAGATGGCCCTTGCTAACAGGGACTACATTCCATATCTGGGGGTAGCAAAGGGT